TGCCATGGGGAATCACTGCCGTCAAGCTGGGGGCTTGCATTGATCGCGGTCGCATGATGCTGCATGGCCAATGGCCACATCTTCAAAGGAAGTCCTGATTGCAACAAGTTGCTCCGGGCACCTTCCAACATCTGACGAACTTCGCGCTCAGCAAAAGACTTTGATGAATCTACGTATTCAATGGAAGTTTGGTGTCTGTAACCCAAATCCTTGATGGCCCTGATCAATTCTGGGGAATTGTCAGTGTACACAACTTGAACATCATCCTTTGATCCAATGAAGTGATTCAAACCATCAACACAGCTTTGTGAGTCCTTGGACTGGCTAGGGTAGACATACCGATATTGGGTGTGCAGATCTTTCAACACCAACGCAACTTGCTCCCCCCTGAAACCCTCTTCTACATTTTTCTTGATGATGACATGATCCCCAATGATGTGGTCACCAAACACTTCAGTTTCGATTCTCTTCTGACCACCCTTCTTTCGTGCCTGAGGTGCCATCATCCTTGCTCGTTGGCAAGTTCTGCAAAAGGGGTTCTTGGGGAAATGCGTGTACTGATGTTGGGTACTTGCAGCTTCAGCCAACAGATCCTCAGTCTTGCGGCTTCGGATGTACTCCTGCTGAGCGTCATCCTCCACCAACTCATCCAACTGCTCTTCATCTTGGGCTTCGTCCCGCTTGGCTTTTGAGCTCGACCGTGAGGTCGGCATTGCAAACAACTTTTTGAGGTGCTTATCCTTTTGAAATTGATCTTTGGGATAAACCTTGCAACTATCATCCAAGATTGGGACATGACCTTCGATCTTGAGCTGGACGACCTTGTCATCTGGACGGACTAGGATTGGTTTGCCATTTGCAGGCCATACGAAACTGTAACCCTGATCTACACATCTCGTTCCTACAGAGAGCACAGCTGGGGTATGATCAAGCACATACGGATGCACGGGATCTGGCAATGCGGACAACTTGACATCAGCAACTTCATTTGCCTCGGTCGAACCATTGGCTGTGACTAAGGAAATCGGATGCTCGGCTGCACGGCAGTTCTTGGCACTTACGTCCCTCAGCATTCCTTTGGACACAAGATCGGATTCACTACCTGAGTCAACGAGCCAACTAACGCCGGCCTTTGGCGCAGCTGTGGCAATTGACGGGAAACGACCAATGTCTTTAAGGGCTTTGGGACCGCTGATGAACCTGCACTCTTTGCATGTGACGTCGCGTGTGTCCTCATCCCAACAACAAAACCCACAACTTGGTGCAACATCTGAATCATGAAGTTTCACAGTTTCTTGGAGCTGTCTTGCACGAACCTGAGCTTCATGCTGTTCAACCTTTGATGAAACTGGAACATCTTCAGCTGTCTTGTACACCTTAGTGAACTCTCTTGGACGGTGCTTGACTGGGACTTGACGACCGACTGCCTTCACCTCGATCACATGTGGGGCCTTTCGGAATCTAAGACGCTTCATGCTGACATTTGCCTCATCAGAGCACGAAGTTGCCTTCGGCTGTTTTCGGACGATGCATGCAAACTTCTGGATCAGACATGGAGCGGCTGTGGAATCCTTGCCCTTCTTCTTGGGAGCGGGTGAATTGGCCCTTTTGGTGTCTTTGGTGGCGGCAGCGGCTTTGTCATCATGTTTATAAAAACATTTGTCACCACGTCTGCACTTTCCCTGGGCATGATAGATGCATGGGGTTTTAGCCATTTCTTCTTTAGACATCTTCTTCCCCTTATCATCCTTATTGCCCCTTGATGGTGAACGTGTTTTGGTTCTTCTGGGTGATTGAGTTCGAGATTTATCATCTTTGACATGCTTGAATGGACACTTCTTCCCCTTATCACAGGTACCCTTTTGGAACTTATAGCAAATCTTGTCACCTTTGCCACCTCGTTCCTGCGATCTACCGCGACTTGGAGAGCCCTTTCGGCCGCCGCGACCATCGCCTTTGGCGGGTGCGGCCTTTGTGTCCTTAATCCCAGCCTTGTTCTTCTCCGCAATGCGGTTCCTGTTCTCCCTCAATCGTTCACGATCGATCAAGTTCTTCATGGATTGGTGAAGAAAACTGTAAGACTTTTCATGGGATTTCTCATGAGCACGGTCAAACACCTCGATGTCATATTTCAGCAACTGACTTGGTCGGATCTGCCTCAACAAGATGTCCCTTAACACAGCATCATCAGGGGTGACAGCCATGCCAGCTAGGGTAGCATCCCATTTGTTGATGAATCTTCGGAGATCCTGGACAGTATCGCCTACTTTGACAACACCCAAAAGATCTTCTACTCTGTAAAGGCTACCTGCTTCTTCTGATGTCTTGAAGTAGTCCTCAAACATAAGCAGAACATATCTTCCCCTGACCTGGATGCCTTTTCGGGATTGCTGCTCCTTGAAATTCAAGATCCTAGTTGCGAGGTCCCCTCCGGCTGAGCGCGTGAGCGCTGCTGATAACTTTGTATCCAGCGTAAGGAACTTTCCAGGATCTTGGAGTTTCTTCTCCAACTGCTCTCTGGTGCACTCTTGATCGTACACCTCGTTGAGCCAGAGCCACGCCTCATCCGGGCGATCTGAACAGCTCTTCACTTCATCCCTGACATGATTCTTCCAAGTTCTATATGACTCCGGAGCGGGCATGTTGTTCAGCTTGATGAGTTCAGCCTCCTTAGTTTTTGGCTTATCCTTTTCTTCCCTTTGGGTTAAGGCTTTCACCAATTCAATAAGATCTGAGGGACCCATTACTTGCTGTTGCTTGGTTGCGCTCTTAGGAGATTCATTTGGGGGAGTTTTGATAGCTTCAGTGGGAGTGAAAAACCCTGACTGCGTTGGCAATTGGGGCTGGTCGTTGCCGACAGCCGGCTTTTGCTTGGGACTGCCACCTTTGAGCAGCTCATCCAACTTGGCCTTTGCTTCCTGCGCCAACACTGCAGGCGTCTTAAACTCAAGAATCGGCTCATCACTGCCTCTGGCAGCCTGTGCATCGGATGCTTTGGGAGTGGCAATATTGAAGTGGGGCACGCTAGTGGTAGCGGCCGGCTCGGCGTTCTGGACGGATGCTTTCGGAACGGAGGCATGCTGCGCTTTGGCAACATGCTTTAACTGCTCCTGAAGATCATCGATTTGGTCCTGAAGGCTAAGGTTCTGAGCCGCTGCCTCGTTGATCTTGTCTGCCATCTCCTTCTTGTAGTTCTCAAACTCAGTCCTCAAACTGATGAACCTGGCCTGATCAATTGCAGCCTGATCTTCATATTGCTTCTTTGTGGCAGCTATGGCATTCTTTGCATGTTCAACTGTCTGTGCATAGGAAGCTTCGAATTCACTAGTGATACGTTTTCTTTCCTCTGCAATTTTCTGATCATGCTTTGTGTTTGCCTCTGCCTTTACATCCTCTATTCTTTTGTCATGCGATGCCTGAGCCTGATTCAACCTGACCTCCATCTCGTCGCCTCGTTTCCTCTCCTCGTTGAGGGCACTAATGGCATTACCTTCAACCTCCTGCAGCCTTTGCTCATACTCCTGCTCCTGCATTACGAGTCTACTTGACCATTCGTTTCGAATTGAGTCAACTACTCCATGCATTATCTGAAGGTGCCTCTGTTCAGCTTCCCTCATGACTTGCAGGGTATTCCCACTAGTAATCTGGGACAGGTTGTTTTGTATGAAGGTAAAGTACGCAACAACGGGTTGGAACATTGTTTCGTCATCCATCGGCTCGGGGTTGCCCCCGGCCATATTAGGCACAGCGACAGCCGATGGACCTGACCCTGGAACGGCGAGAGGATGGTCAATTGGGGTCCCCATAGCAAAGTAGTGAGACTACGGCTGATAACCTGTATTTTACCAGGTCAACCGACAATGGGGTGAAATACTAAGCTAACACCGTTAAGCACTCAGCTCTTTTGAACCAACGCTATCGGGCAGATCGATGATATATACAATACATGGTTTTACTGCAGGAGTTTTTACATATATATATATATGTATACATGCGTGTATAATATGTTGATTTAAATCGATATGTGCATAATGTATCATAACGTGAACTATATATAAAAATGATTAAAAATGTATGTGAACCATACATAGTTGAAACAAACCAAATACATGTGAGGTAATATGTAACCAATATTGTATCTACAAAGGGTATGCATTCATATATATATATATATATGCGCGTCTATGTATGATTGTATGCGTATAATTGAATGCACTTTTCAAATGTTCGCGTGTAAGGCGAACACACACACACACATACCCACACACACACACACACACCAAGCTGGTCCAGGAGAGCACTGGCCTGCGGTAAACCATACCCCAATAACAATTTGTTATGGGTATAATGCATAAAGTATCCCGTATTGTTTATCCTTGGTTTTCCCACATTGTAATAATTTAGACAACCTGCTTTAAAGATCTTGAATCATCATTGCACAATGTTGGTCAAATCCATTGCATTCTTGCAATAGAACATAATCTTAACTTACTGCCGCTCAATTTGCAATTATTCATAGTTGTCCTTGCTCCTTTTGTTAAACTTTTCCACGATTGTTCGATGAATTTTACCCTATGCTATGCTTGAACGGTCTTGGAAAACCCTGTCTACAAGAAGTTGAGGGTTGTATCCTGCAACATGGTGCACCCCCAAAAAGAAACCCAACAAGACACTTTCTCAAGTGATCCTTAACCGCCATCATACCGCCATCAACCCTTCTTACAAGCTCATGGGACCTTATTGAAACCTTATTGTTGAATTCGGAAATTGGAAGTATAGCTCCCAAAACCAATCCTCCAAGAATTCGTATCTATGCAAGAACACTTGTGTGTACATACACATGATCACAAATGCATATATATATATATATATGTGTGTGTGTAATATATAGATTTATAATGATTTATATGCAGGTACAGTATATTACAGTAATATACATACCAACAATTCATAACAACCAGCAATTTGGTTTCCAGAAAATCCATGAAAATCCGAGGCTCCAGTAGGGTCCATCGGCACCGTATTTATCCGGTCGATCCTTGTCGCACGGGCCGGAGAATTCATGGTGAATCCATGGTGAATCCAAGGGGCTCTTCCGTGGCTGTGCACCAGGGGGCCACGATAAAAACTGGTGGTTGACCTACCCCTCTGGTAAACTAACATAGCTATTGAAAATGATCATTTATAGTTGATTTACCTATTATAAAATGGTGATTTTCTATAGCTATGTTAGTTTACCAGAGGGTACCCCTCTGAAAAATATGAGTCAAATGGGAGTGTTGTTCCCAATATATGGAAAAAATGTATAAAAATGTTCCAAACCACCAACCAGAAAATCTCATTCTCAGCCCTTCTTGCTAGCCATTGGCTTCTAGTATCTCAGAGAGGGGGATGAGGTACCTCTCTGGCCACTGGTGATTGTCGTTCTAAGAAGGGGACAATAGAAACAATGTTCACACCACTGCAGAATGCATTGAACATGGCTAAGTTTGAGATTATAGATATAGAAACACGTTTGGGGGGGCTGGGCAGTCTACATGTTCCCATTACATGACAAAATAATGAACTTGTATGAAGCTAATTGCTATAACCATCTATAACCAAAGTTGGCCTATATTATATCTCATTACACGATTGCATTTGTATCCCCATTTTAATTAAATTCCTATCATTGTTTGTTTGCCCAGAAGCCTACCCGTATTCTTGATGATCTAGATAATGAAACCCTAATGTTTGTTGGATAAAGCGTCTTCAGCACAATTTTGACGGGTTAAAATCACCCCATCAAAGCTTCCCCCACACAGGGCTGCCCCCAAAACCCCAGATATAAGGAGGACAGCTGTGTAGATAAGTAGGTAGTGACCAATTTCATTGCCGCTATCAATCTGCCGAAAACAAGTTGGACATATTCCCGGTATTATCTTCCCATAATATCCCCAGAAAGTGCTTAGATTTCCCTGGCCAGACTTCCACATCGCGCAGCTGGCGTCAAGTCACAGAGACATCAAAGAGATCACCGTAGACCGAGATCAGCATCCGTTCGCCTGTGCACTACCCGGGTGGAAAAATCAGCTCTATGGCCGGCTCGGAAATCCCGACAGACCAAATGGAGGTTTGAATGGAAACATGATCTAAATTCAATGGTTATTTTCCATTGCCATCTTTGATAATCGGGCTCTCAGGACACAACGATACATAGATATACTACACATGTGATCACTTGTGTGTCACTATGTGTGCAACACATCGGTTTTTGGGTGGAAAAACCTGGTCCAAAAAAAACCTGGTCCGATCCTTCTAGGAGAAGTCACCAGTGGTGAAACGCCTAATGCAAAGCCCATGGTTGCTACTGCAACCCGAATTTTCTACCCGGAAATTGGGTACCCAAAAACATTTCGCCATTTTTCTTGGAGAAAACCATGATCGACCGGGGAGTTTCACACCTTGGCAGCTATACTTGTCCACTAGATCCTTCTGGGAGATGCGACCCACGTCTTTCCGGAAGTCCTTGGGCATCTTGAGACCTGCTGACAGGGACCCAACCGGGCACGCCAAATGGATGGATGCTACTCTGGTGTGTCATTCACATCAGTATTGTCATTGGTACCAAAAATAGGGGAAGATTTGTTGCACTTGATTGGTGTACAAAAGTGCATGATCAGAGGACCAATCAATTGTGGGACAAGCCCTTTCTCACTGGTACATGAATTTCTTGTCACTTCTGGGTCCTGACATACCCTGACAAACATACTGTGGATGGACAAAACCCTGCACCACTTGGTAGATGGCAGGATTTTTAAACCGAGGAACCCTTGGGCCGTGGCAGTGGGCGGTGGCCACCCTCGGCCTTTAGACCGGAGGTGGCCATGTTTGTCCTCAGCCCATGGAAATTTCAATGGATTTATAGGGAATATGATTCTATGATGGATATGGATTTCCAATTTCATATAATTCATATAATTACTCATATTTGGGAATGTAGTGTTATATTCCGAGGATTGGGTCGACGCTTGAGCGTCACGTATTTGATGGTAAGGTAAACGGTTTATAACGGTTTCCGGTTGACATGTTCAATTGTAAGCAGTTTTGGGAAGCATCGGGAAGTATAACCAGAATCTGGAAACATAGAGATTTTGCAGAAAATTCATCAGGATATGGATGGCAATGGGGGTCTGAAACCAACCATTGGTACCCCGAAATCCTGGTGGAACGGAACTGGTAAGCCCCAGAACTCGAAACACACCATAGTGGTACATCCATGTGCCACCATATTTTGTGGGGCCAAACTGGCAACCACCAGTAATTTGTAACTAGCTGGATTTTGGGTGTAGTATCTTCTAAATATAGTATGGGATTATAAACTATACCTTATGGGATACATCAGGGTGGATCAAAAACAACATCCAGCGCATATACCAAACACAAAAAGGTGTGAACAAAAAGGTGCCACGTGAACTAACACACACCGCCCACACCCAGTGTGCGTGTGTGTGCGTGCACGTCCATGCACATAGTGTAACGGTGTACTTATACAATTCTTACACATCATTGTGTAAATGGTTTCACGTAGAACTGCGCATGGAATCCTCCATGTTGGAACAGTCAAGGTCGGACAGATTGAAGTGCCGTATTACTCAGTAGACTCAGCACATATCATGCTGCTCAAGGTCCAAGGCACCCCCAAAAATAAAAGAGTCAGGCTGGCCAAAGTCTTCCCAAACGATGGGGGAAAAACACAAACACAACCTGAAATATAAAAGCACCCAAGAATGAGAGGAATTATCTAAATACTGTATCGCCCTCTGTTTTTTTCCAAATGTTGTGGGGACAAGTATGATCAGAGACCATCAGAAACTACTCCTGCATATCTTAGCGGAAAACCAGTCCCTATGGATCCACCTTCGGATGAGGGGCGAAGTGTTTTTCCGGCAAAGGGATGAACAATGGCACCATGACCCGAAACACCATGGGAAACACCATGGACACCTGAAGGATTTTGATGGATTTTGACCTATTCCAAAAAGCTTGGCGCGGTAGTGAAATGTTGCTATTTTTGCGGTGCAAACCTAAGGACCCAATCAGTTGCCATTGATGTAAGGATAAGGCCCCTAAATTGGAAAAAATCGTGTGAACATTTAGGTGCTGCGAAATCGCAAAGCGAATTCCTCCAAGCATCTCTCCAGTACTTGGATCTTTCCTTGGATCCACAAGCAACAAAAGGTGTTGTTGGCAAAGTGCCCCGTCATGGCTACCCTCCGGATTTATATAATGTAGGGAAAATGGTCTACATATGGATGCCTTATACTATTTGTACTTTTGAAAATGGTGGGAAAAATCCATACATGGACCATGTTCCATAGCTACCCGGAGGGTAGCCATGGAAAATGGTCCATATATGGATTCACCATGAAATGCCTATCCTATATTATTCCTTACCTATAGCCTCTAACGGTGATTGTCCATACGAATAGCTATGTTGAATCACCAGGGGCCTACTTGGAAATATTTGCTGGAATCCATTTTTCCTTTGTGATCAAGCATTTGGATTCGTGTAACGTTGAAGTAGCACTTCCCAAATCATTTTTTTGCAACCACTTGGGGGAAATATAAGAATTCCCAATCAGTCAAACAAAAGTAATCTCTGGTAATTTAACATAGCTATGGAAAATCCATTGGAAATGGAGGTTTATAGCTGGGAAAGTCATCTGTAAATGGGCCACTTTCCATAGCTATCTTAAATTACCAGAGGGTAATCTCATGTAATCTCTCTATACAGGTGATTCTTCGTTGTCAGGCTGGATTGTCGAAGGGCAACTCCCATGATTCTCCACTGATCCGGAGTGTTTATTAATTTATTAATCGTCGATCAGAAGATTTGCTGCCAGTTATATGTCTAATTACCAAGGGCATACCTTGATATAATATATGTTATATGTCTATATATAATATATGTATCACATGGATCTGAAAATGAGAAAATGATTGATACATATATTGTATATATTGATACAATGGGATACCTCAAAATCGCATTTTTGAAAACGCAGTTAAAATGATGATGCTCACTTGAATTTTGGGGTACCCAACTTTCAGACAAACCTAGATTGACAGAACGATCGTGATTATCATGAAAAGATATGGTACGTCCAAGTCTGTCTCCTTAAGGCTCAGCCTAGCGGGGTAAGACTGAAAACACTGAAAAATGTAGGTCTTCCAATCTGATTGGTGCTGAAATAGAACATCGCCCACAAATTTTGGGGACCCTGAAAGGGATTAGAGGCGCACTTTCCTGCATGTTGGCTATGTGCGGCTAACTAATGTTGCCTCGTAATTTCCATCATTCCAACGTCTCTATCCATTCTAAAACTCCAATGTGTACTTTAAGGTTGGACTGAACATCGGGGACCCCATTTCACCCAAATCATAATGTTCATTACTGTACCCTTTTATTCCCTATTCAATGGCTATACTTCCGGCTAAACCCCATTTTCAGACACAGGCGTATGCTGCTAAGGTACTTCTCATACCTGGCAGGAAGGGCATTTTTTGTACAACGGGTATACTGCAGATACACTTGGCATTGATAATATATATATATATTTATTATTATTATTATTATATATACACATATATCTATAAAGTGGTTTCTTGTCCGGTTGTTCGTCATGTTCTTTATCAAAACAACCATTTTAAGGGTATGTGGTATACACATGTAAACACCATTTTCAGACACAACCATATCTAAGATAATGTGAACCTACCTTAGAATACTATATAATGACATATGTACAAAATAATGGGGTAGAACCAAAAAAACAAAATGAATCATGGAAAGTGGTATACCATTCTATACCCCTTTGTTCTGGTGTGTATTGCCCATTGAGTTTGATGATTTACATTGTTTTACCGTACCACTTTTGAAAATATTTTTTCTTAATAATTAGATCCTATCCCTTTGTCAAATTGCCAGAGAATAACACTCGATTTTATAAAAATAAAAGGATCCAAGCAACGAAAATGGTGGTATCGCACTGTTTAGCGGTCCCCAGGCTTGGTGTCCCTCAAGACGGTCCACTGATGACCAACAAAAACGAACGCATCAAACTATTAAGGGTTCAACATCCATGGGGATAAACATCCATGGGGATAAACATCCACGGGGATAAACTCTGGTTATTTTTGTTGGGTATCCATCCTCTATGTCCCCTCCAAGGTTTACCCATTTAGGGGACGTCTCCCTGTCAAAAAAAGGCTGTAATGTAAAGGTCCAGCTTCGGAAATGATCCAACCAGAATCGGGTTGCTCCCAAGCCCATTACTATAGGATTGCCTTCTCCTCTTGTGGCTAAAAAAATTGCCCACAAATAATGGCTTGGAACAGCCCTGATAGTATTTGGTTTTACATGGCCCACATCTGGTTTTGAATTCCCCCATGACAATGCTGAAGATGCTGAAGAAGTAGATCGTGGCAACCGTGCAACCGGGTGCGTAATCTGTTGATTTAAAGCTACACCAGGAGTAAAACACTGGTTGATCAAACATGGCATCTACTGGACATGTTCAACTAGGTACCCATCAAGGAACAAATCTTGTAAGCCAAGTTGGGAGAATCATGAATGGTCAAAATGCAGGGCGCACCACAAATGCACCCCCACGCGATGGATGCTACAATGAACCATATTTTTTCATGCGCACACATACGCAGTGGAGGCAGCACATCCAATGATTTATGGTCGTATGACCATTTTTTGTGGTGCATTTATGATGATTCACCTCTTCGTCTCCGGGTTTATCTAACTCGTTTGTCATCCAATCTGGCTACATCATATCTGTGAACCATACCCGTCTTCCGGGCAACGTCGACTGTCGCGTTCCGCCCAAACAACCCATCATTTGTCGTCACCGAGATCCGAGATGCTGCTTCAAATCAGGACCCGCGCTTTTTTTCAACCTGGCCTCAGTGATGGCTCAATGACCGGCCCCGGAAGTTAGCCAAATCCTACTAACATATGGTCATAAAGTAGCAATATATGGCAATTGGTAATCTAAACTTTAACTGCTTATATAAATCATGTTAAATCCTACTTTTTGCATCTTTTTGCGGTAATCTAGGCTTTTTCTATATGCTTTCAACCATCCCATATTTTACTTGAGGTTTCCCTGCGGTTTGACTGACTGGGTTCCCATAAAAGAGGTTCCCTGTGAGACCACCGATAGTGGACATCATTTTTATATGGGAAAATCCCTATGGTTTTATGGTTTAATAAAACCATGGCTATGTTAAGTAATTAACCATGAAAATATCCCTATGGTTTTACAATATGGAGGTTTAATGATGTTCAACCATAGCATATGGAAAATCCCAACCATAAATGGCATAGAATATGGTTTTACCATCTGGTTATGACTAACATAGCGAACTGGAAAATCCCCAAAATAAATGGAGGTTTAGAGCTGGGAAAATCATCTATAAATTGGCCATGGCTTCCATGGCTATGTCAAATAACCAGAGGGCATATATTTTATATACTGTAGTATCAAAATTGTCCAAGCTAACATTTAGTACCAATTCCGGGGAAGTAGGGAGCGTAGGCTAGTAGGAATGACGCATTGGTTTAATGGAGACGAATCAGAAGGGGGTGCAAAGGCTTGTAACTTAGTAGTTCAGCCACCAACAAGAGCCCGAAGAGCCCCCTCACCACACCAAGACACTGGCTTGGCTGACTTTAGGAAGACCCACGACATCACATGCCTGCCTTTTACCCACAATACTATCAATACTATAACTGGGGTTTCCCATAAATGTTCCCTTTCACCAGCTCTTAGAAACCAATTTTTTCCAAACTGCATGTGGGTTGGTAACCTCAATTCCAATCATCATGTTCCCCAATTTTTTTAACACACCCAAATATGTCCAAATATCACATAATATTCGTTGGTATTTCTTGGTTCGACATTCCCCTCACATTTCCATTCCGGGCGGGCTGTTTCTTGCCCCCGTCATATCCCATCATTCAGTAATCCCCCATGCAGCTCAGCGCCAAAAGACGTACTGTTCGCGGTAGAAGCTCTTGAACATGTCTTTCTTCAGCTGACGCTCCTGACGCATGGCGGGCCCAGGCTAAGGAGTAGCTCATTGCTATGGGCCCTTCATAATTCATATGTAAGGCTCTTAAAATCACAGGAGATCCCCAAGTCAAAATAGGTTTCGATACTAAACTGATCTAATGACTTGAATGATTTGGGGTACCACCATTTTAGGAAACCACCTATAGAGCATATATGTGATTTATCCTAACATCAACAAAACATAATAACAGTATATAAAGTATATATATATATATACTTCAGGAGGAACAAAACTTATGCTTCTTGAAAGCTTTACAAAACATCCATCTCGGTCAACTGCGGATCACATTTTCAAGCCCGTTTTGTGTGGCAGGTGTGGGACGGTCAATTATCACCCTCTTTTAAATATAAGATTTTAAAGCTTTTGGAAGGTGGAAATGTGACCGGGGTACGGCCAAGCTCCATGCTAGGATTCTACGGGGAAAGGGTGTGAAGAAGAAGAAGAAGAAACCAAACATGTTCACCGTGGGAAGCTCAACAAGCGCAACATTTGTCCTACCAGTGTATATATAGCAAATATACTTGCAATGGAGAACAATGATAACGCAAACAATGATAGGATAGGAACATTGTTCAATGATAGCATGATAACAAGCACTGAGAACTCTAATTCATGATATTCACAGTTTGAAATGATAACCATACACTAAGAATACTAACACCGTCCAGAAAACTTTGGCTTACATAGTGGCTCTGTTCAAATTGGGGTCCCATGTTGAATTCTTTTTGGTGGATTGCACCAAAAAAAAGTATGATCCCTTCTCAAAAAATCAGATTAGTCAATTTGACTCGAATTGATCCCCTTTAGAACACAATTTGAAATCAAGGTCCATTTGAAGGTTCTACCCCTTAATAATAAAAACTAGTTAGCCCCGGTGTGTGTGTGTGTTTTTCCCCACCTGCCAGGTGAGGGTTGTTAGATTTTATGTCAGTTGCCTCCTCCTGCCTCGTCCTCCTCCTCCTCCTCCTCTCCTCCTCGTCCTCCTCGTCCTCCTTGTCATCCTTGTCGTCCTTGTCGTCCTCGTCGTCCTCGTCGTCCTCGTCGTCCTCGTCCAACTGCGACCCGCGATCCACAGTGTTCTCTGCCGGGCCTCAACCACGACCATCCACGCCCAGTGTTCCCTGCCGGACCTCAACTGCACGACCACCTCCACGCCCAGTGTTCCCTGCCGGACCTCAACCACGACCAGCCACGCCCAGTGTTCCCTGCCGGACCTCAACCACGCCAGACGCCCAGTATCCACCATGCCAAGTGTTCCCTGCCGGACCTCATGTAGGAAGATAAAATGTCAGATAGAGTGCCAGAAGATTTGCCAGGTAGAATGCCAGAAAATATGCCAGATAGATATGCCAGAAGATATGTCAGAATATATGCCAGATAGAATGCCAGATAGAATGCCAGATAGAATGCCAGAAGATATGTCAGAATATATGCCAGAAGATATGCCAGATAGAATGCCAGATAGATTGCCAGAAGATATGTCAGATAGAATGCCAGAAGATATGCCAGATAGAATGCCAGAAGATTTGCCAGATAGAATGCCAGAAGATATGCCAGAAGATATGCCAGATAGAATGCCAAATAGAATGCCAGAAGATATGCCAGATAGAATGCCAAATAGAATGTCAGAAGATATGTCAGATAGAATGCCAGAAGATGTGCCAGTAAGAACATGTATAAATGTCATGGTGGGGATCACACGAAGTAAAGTATTTTTTTTAATTAGGGTCTGTGTGTTAAAATCAAACACATAGTTTCTGAATTTCTTTAATTAAGGTTTCTAATTTAGTACTAGGGACAGCTTCGAAATCCAATTTTTGTCAATACCTCAAATGGATGTTTAAAAAGTTGTTTAAAAACATGTTTAAAAAATCAAGGTTTCCAAATCATTATTAGGGGAAGCTTCGAAATCCAATTTCTGGCAATTGTTTGATTGGATTTTAAACATGATTTCAATTGATTTTGACATCAACAATTTTAGTTTTTATAATTAAGGATTTAAGATTGATATTTGGGGCCAGCTTCTCCCCCCAAATATAAAAAATACCACCAAACAATAAAAGCTACCCCCAGGCCTGTAAGTCTTAGATTTTTTGGGGGGAGAATAGACGTTGAATATTAGGGTGTGAAGGGACAATGCTATGTATATATACACATGCATAACTGATTGGTGGTTGAGCCACCCCTCTGAAAAATATGCGAAAGTCAGTTGGGATGACGATTCTTCCCAAGATATTATGGGAAAATAAAGTTCATGTTCCAAACCACCAGCCAGCCATTAGTATCCATTAATCACCATTAACCACCATTAAATCACCATTAAATCACCATTAATCACCATTAATCACCATTAAATCACCATTAATCACCATTAAATCACCATTAATCACCATTAATCACCATTAAATCACCATCAATCACCATTAATCACCATTAATCACCATTCATCACCATGAATCACCATTAAATCACTATATTTACACATGCTGCTGTTGCTACCCAGGTCCACCCTTTAAAGGTCTGCTGGCCATTGATCCCCGCCGGGGAATGATAAAATTCCTGTCCCCTGACACTAAATAGCCCCCAAGAAACCCAGGTCCAGGTATCTATATATATATATATATTCATATTATATTCTATGATATGTCTATGTATGTCTATGTCTATTAGATATTTTTTTAGACTTGGGGGCCCTGGGGCCCTGAAGCTACTTCAATGATCGGAAACCCCACCCTGGTGACGCCCTTGTGAGGTCGATCGGTTGATCCTTCAAGAAAAAAATCATCTGGAAATGGACACTCCATGACTCCATGACTCTTGTAGATCACTGTCAGATTTGCTGATTTGCTGACTGGATAATATCTTCAACATTCTGATACACAACCCTCCCAAGACCAGATCTTTAGTATGATCTTTAGTATCATATGGCTTTTTGTTGGGAATCTTGGTACAACCGTAGCTCCGCAGTGCTTCAAACAACCGGATCGCTCGGTCGAGTTTTTTGTCTCAGCCATTTGGCTCCACTCTCAGGCGAAGCTGGATGAGATCGGTGCTACAGCTATTGAAATTGAAGCCCCGCAGAGTCTACAAACGTTTGTGAAGACGTTGTGTTTACTACACGGGCCTCTAGCAAATGTAGCCATAATATGGGCCCAAATTGAAAGGTAAATCATGGTAATTCATCAAAACAATGATGATTAATCGGAAAGATGGCATGGGCCAAGACCCCCGGGATGGCGGCCCCAAAAACCAGCATGCCTTGAATGATGATGAAATATTGCTCTTATGGCATCTTGGGTGGCTAGTGACAAGGTTCTTTTGACAATTTGTAGCGACATGTGAAACAAGTCTTCCTACGCTTGGGCATTCATGGCCGGATGTGAGTGATGTCCTCTGCAATCAGCGCTTGTGATTTCCGTCTATTGCCCCAATATCGTATATATATATATAATGCCGGTGTTTTGATGATAGATGCAACCAACATACCCAAGTTGGAAATTGTTCCAGCTTTCTAAGTGTGTACATCTATTGATCTATTTGTAGGCAGGGCTATAAGTACCAATGGCTGGGGTAACTGGGAGTTCATCCGAAGTATTGCAAACAGTAGGGTGCATCATCCTAGATTTGGCGACATCTTGCAAAGGTCCCATGTGACAACAAGCAATGACATGCCAATCAGAAATAAGAACAGACTTGAATTACAGCGTAGTGTTCGAAACGAGAACAGGTTCCCACCATAATCTTGCGAAGGACAAACCATGACAAGTCCATGGAATGCGGAGTTTGTCACTGCTGTGATTCTCAAAGCAAAAGGGGATGCATCCTTGAAAAAGCATAGATAAGGACAACAAAAAAGGGGCCCAAATGGGTCCAGTCAGCGCAAGACATCCAAGGAAAAAACTTCTGATTGGCAAAGAAAAATGTATGCCACCGAATCAAAATTGGCAATTTTTCAGGGGTACCGGTACTATTTTAATCATTTTTCACTCCTTAATTGAAATCGTCATGAAATTTAGTAGACATAAACGGTTATTAATCCGAAAGTGACATGAAATGAGGCATGATAACATCAACGCCAAACACCATCCCAGCCATCCCACGTTTTCATGATTTTTTCGTGATGGAGTTGTCCATTTCGGAAACCATCCGGCTACTGGGGGTATCCCCCTATGACACTTTCTTGGCCCATTTCAGCATGGACTGTGTCTCTGCTGGGCCTCAACCAAACAATCCTCGTCTCAGCCCCGTAAAAAACAGCAGCAGTGCAAACGACTGAAGACAAAAACAAGTGGAATTTTGGAATTGCTTGCTCTGCACCTATACTTATATGAATATATATGAATAATGAATGTCAATGGGCAAAAATATGGTTGCAGCCAACAACCATACCATGATATTCATGGATGCAGTCCCATGCACCTACTCATTCAACATCATGAATATGTGCCCCCAGTGAGAAAATGTTGAACATGCGCTCAATGATGGGGTTCAAACACTGCTTCAACAAATGAGTAAATTTGGGATGCACAAATAGAGGCCTCCGATACCCGGATACCACGAGCCAATCAATAGTGGTTGAAACATGTTGAAACCAAATCTATCCGATGTGTCATCCTTTCAGAAGGAATGGAACAATTCGCAAGCCATGTGAAACCAAAGGCAAATCTATCTCCAAACAACTGAATGCAATATGTTTGTCACTGCAGATTTCCGGCTTGGAACCAGCCTGTGCTGCATCTGATTCGCCCCAGGTCCCCATGGACAGTTTTAAAGACCCCAAATATTCCCCGACCACATTGGCTGGATAAATCTATCTCGAGTGTTTTCTGGGGTATGGGTCAAAATGGGTCAACATCAAAACTACAGAAAATCTGGATGGCTTTGGATGAATGTTGGATGCATTTACTTTTTCAATATCTTTCAATAGTTAGGAACCGCATTGGAAGCCCCATTTTGACCCACCCCCAACTCCGTCAACTCCAAATCAGACGCAGCCGCTGGTCATTCATGGTGCCTTATTCACAGCAACCAAAACCTGCTGGTCCGTTGTCGACATTGCGCCCTGGATCCCTGCATGTACCCTGTAGTTTGTTACATAAAACCATGAATATTTACTGTATACCTATCCCAAATGCTCCATGTATCGTATATTTACCATTATTTACCTACCAAACTGGGTGATTTTGAGGGTAAATGTTGATACATATTCCATACATGGAGCATATATGAGCATATGGGTATTAAAATTAAAAGGTGTGATTGTTCATAGTTACGAGCGTTATCTACATCAAATTGCCAGAGAGATTGTTTGCCATTCTCTTAGTGTGTGAGAATCAACACCGACATGACAATAGTTCCATGGGATTTGTTGAAGAGGCCAAAGCATATCTCAGTTTCGGTAATGTGATAAACCCAATCATCAACCTACCATTTGGGGACAGTTTATACCTCCCATCTATGGTAATATTGGTGACAATTTCTACGTTTGTTTTTGTCGCACCTAGATTTCAGGATATTTCAGGTGGATGAACATGATGAATGGACAATAAGAATTAATCAGATCTGGGTAAATTACAATAATTCACTGACCTGAATTAAGGCCATAAAAGGGGATGATTCCCCTTACTAACCATGATTCCAGTGAGGGAGATCAGTGAGGTCGTTATAATTTAGCCAGATAAGATATAATAAGAACTAATCAGATACTTACGGCTCCAAGGCTCGGGTTTTGGCTGCCGATTCTACGGCGGTAACTTCCCCCAGCGCGCTGCGATTGTGGGATCGCGAGATCGAGGCAATGGATCGGGAACGTAGGATCGTCGGTTTCGCTGATGGCTTCAGCATTCAACGACTGGTGTGGAAAAACGTTCTACAAATGCTAAGTTTTCTTTAAAATATCTAGTTTCTATGTGTATATATATATAATTTATGTGTGTGTTTCTATCGGATTTCCCAACCGGCCCCAAAAAAATAAAAACGGTTCTCCTACCTAGTAGATCTAATAGAGAATCGGATAGAATAGGTCTATATAAACAATTACAAAAAAAATGTAAACATCTCTCTACATTCCCCAATGGATCTAAATTGGATTTACCACAGGAGAACAACATACTCTAACCGCAAGCAAACCCGGGTATGTCTATATTAGTTTGCTGGAGGGAAATGGTCCACAACCAAGAACGGCCGACTGTTGTTCTACAGGTCCTTGCAACTCAGGGTTCATTCTACATTCTGTTCCTGGCCCCTATATTCAATCAAACCTCCATTCATCCTACGTCTCCACACCTCAAACCGCACCCAGGCAAAAAGCAGCGGTGAGCACTCAGTTCGAATCATCACGTCATGCAAGTTGTTCCCGGCACAAGGGGCAACATTGCTTCCCCTGGGTAAGCCACTTCCCAACGCCCTGGTGGTGGAAGTGGTGATGGCACGGTAGTACTGCAACTTCGTGATGTTGAGGGTTCATTTGCTCGAAACAAATGGAACAAGGCCTGCAGCAACGTAGCGACGTAGCAATCCACCGGAGCCCCGTTCCGGTTGAATTTAACCCACTTGAAACGAGAAATCCCTGGCAGCCAGCCATGTTGATGTATAACAACTGTACATATACAATCCCAGGCACTCACAGACACACGCACACACACACACATTATATATATACACCATATATTATATACAATATATACATACATACATCTACATGTATGTATATAATTATCTGTGCACATTTCGCATCATTTAGCTACTTGCCATTGATACCTACATGTCACTGCATGCAATCATCATAAACCCAATCCATTTCTTCGTGTCAAATTCAAAGATAGAACATTCGATTTTATAGAGATTGATCGTGAATGATCATGATTTATCACGCTTTATGATCATTCATGATTTATCAATCATTCTCATTATTTATGATCACTATTTTATGATCATTTGATTTCATGGTTTTCCAGGCTTTTCCATTTTTCCAAAACCCCATCAAGACCACCATTCCCGCTCTGGCACTCGCTGACGGGCAAGGTTTCCGTGTCCAGAATCCTCAGCCGCTGGCGGGCTTGTTGGACGTCGCGGTGCTGCTTCAAGGCAGCCTCCGGCGGCGAATGGAAAAGGTGGGAAAATGTGTCGGGAAACCAGCGAGCTCACCATGAAATATATAGGGATAGGGGGAGTCCATGGTCCTGGAAATGGGTCCCTTCAAGCAATCCAGTGGTTAGAGATATTCTTTTTTAGATGAACTTTATGTGATTTTATCGTTTAAATTGTTCCTTTTATCAATATGGACAATTTTCAAACAAAACCATATGAATTCAATGGGATTTTTGTGGAATGATTTCTCACTGTTGGGGTGATTACAGGCATAAGCCTGGACATAACCCCATAAAGTGACGAGACGATTGAAACCTACAAAAAGCACCCCTTCTGCAGAACTTACTATAGGCACGGCCATATAGCAATCGCGCGGACGGTTGCGAACGGTTGCGAACGGTTGCGGACGGTTGCGGACGGTTGCGGACGAATGCGAACGTAAACGCAACGTCGAGCGAACACACCCTCAGCCCCCAGACCCCCAGAGCGAAATGGGAACCCTTGCTACGCATTCCAGAAAAATAGAGGCCACTTGAAGACTCTTGAAGGTTATCCAGTTCTACTTAATCCCTGGAAAAATATAGATTTCGATAAAAAATCAAAACAAATAGAAAAGTGATTCATCACTACATTCGTGGAATTTTACTTTTCTATTTTTTTTGGGGGGTGTTTTCCGCGGACACTGCCTGGAAGAGAAGCTCTTGCTGGTGATCCAGGGTGGTCTTGATCTTGAGATCCTCAGTAACAGTGGAAACTGCTGCAGAAACAAATGGGAATATTATATGATATATTGGTAAAAATTAATGAAATGTAAGTTGGTTAAACAGATAACCAGAATAATTAACAGTATAACACTTGGATTCATGGTGGATCTACAGTGTTAGATGCGGATATAAATCAAGTTAATAATATGGACATATATAGAAATCAAACCCCTACCATTGCCAACTTTAGATACCATTCATCATAATTTTATAATTTAGGTGTAAATCATCGAACGAAATGGTTGTTTTCTACAGCTATATATTAATAATTATTAATATGTTAGTTTACCATAGTTTACCGGAACCTAAAATCATCCACTTCATCCCATTTTTGACCCTATTGATGGTGAAATCCTACTACCACCACTTTTTTAAACCTACTTTCATATTTTTCATGTGGTGTAAATTGTTTTTCAACATATCTTTCCCCGAAACAAACGCCGAAACATGTTCTGCCCGTTCGAGGCTGAGCCAAATTTCTACGCTGGTGGCTTGACGGAACTCCTGCAGCATCCGACTGGGCTCAGTGAGGTGATTCACCGACAAAATTGCGCTGCCAACGTCCTTTGGGATGTTGGGCGGACGGAAAGTCGCCGGTTTCCAGGACTTGATGTTAGCGCACATAGAGAAATAAATAAATAATAACATATATATATATATATACATATAATTGCACATATATATATATATAGATTTCCATATCATGTTGATGTGATCATAATACTCTAAGTAAACCTAGGCTGGAACCATGGATATGGTGGAAATTATGGGGTAAACCCTAGGTATCCCTCGACTTAAGCCTGCTGAAAATGTAAGCCCAAAATAGACTCAGTTGACAGAGGCATGATTAGCCGCAAAGAAAATGGATGTGGATGGGTATTATCATGCCATGGTTGGATGCGCTGCGAAATGGAGGATCTCTTGACAAAGTAAACCAACGAATCATGTCCTAATTTTTAATGATAGCAAGTGACGTTCTACCTCTTCAAGGGCCTCTGCTATTCTTGCACAAAAAACACCTGGCAAAACTTTGAAGCTATCACGCGGGTATATGCAGTGAGCCAGAAAAGTTGGCTTCAATCGAAAAATACTTTTCCCAATCTCCCTCCAGCTCAAGGGCACGCATCTCCCTCCAGAAAACTGGTGTTGCCTCAGATTGACCATAATTATACGGTTGGGGGTATAATTATATGTAGTATACATATGTATAGGCTGCCCTATTTTATCTCATATGGTGCCAGAATTAATCAATAATTTGATTTGTTGGATCTGCAAAGGCTGCATCAGAAAGTCCATCGGTCCCGTACAATACAGATTCACCATTCCCTCGTTACGAGCTCAGCGCCAAGTGGCTGGCTCATTTTTTTGACGGAAAAAAACAAAGAAAAAACACTTTGAAAAAATTGGGCCAGCTACATGCCCTTGAGCCAGCTCGGTGTCCGTCATCAACCCGGCCAATACATATTTTCTACTTTCACATCAGCTTGCCATTTCAAAGTGACGTAGCGGGCTAATTTTGTTCAAAGTGTTTTGTTTTTTCGTTCAAAAAATTGAGCCAGCTCGATGCCATCGAGCTAGACCAATGTGTTTGAGCTAGCGCGGTGTTGCTGAGGTAGCTCGTTCCAGTTGAGCGAGCCTGCAAATTGATTTCCAATGTGTTCAATTGCCAGGTTCAGTCCCAAATGATTCGTTTGATAGAGATGGTACCTCTGTTGCAGCCCAGAAATTTAGGAGCCACGTTTTGGGCCAAATCTTCTTAGACAGCGGCGCAACATTAAAGTCAAACACATGACCCCTTCTGAAATTGAGCCAGCTACATGTTTTGAGCTAACTCGAAAATGAGGAAGATTGTGGATTGCTACGTTCAATGCAAATATGGTCAGCCCCCTGGAAGCCTGCCGCTCGCTGGCCACCCTGGACTCAAGGGTGGACCAAGTTTCTCCCCCCGCCATCACCCAAAAAATATGGATCGGAGAAGGACAAATATGGCTGCACCGTGCCATTACATTGATTCCCAATTAATATTCCTGTAACATGGTTGGAGCAACCCTGAAAACACTTGAAGACCAAGGAAAAATGAAATCCCAAAGAGCCCCCCTGAGTTGCACAAGCTTTTTCCAAGCATCTATCCGACGATGAGGATGCTCTTCGTTCCATCTCCGCACAGGTGAATTGGGGCGAAATCATGCTGAAATCATTATATAGTGGTTGAAATCCCAAACAACCAGTGCAAAGTTTCCCATCTGCGAAGCATGGTGCTGGAATATTTAACAGGACCATGGGTTGCATCTGGGTTTGATTACTGATACGGTATAGTAATAATCATCAGTTCAGTCTCCATGCCTAGGATTCCCTGGGATTTCCATATGAGTTGACTGGCCCTGAAAAACCACAAAAAAACATGGAGGATGTCTCAATATGTTTCATGTGATGGGGTACGAAATCTCTGTTGCCAGGTAAGATCTACTGAGTCCACTGGAAGGTAAACATCTATTGCGTACCATGTAGTTGATTGATGTTGATTGGAATCAGTGGCATGGCCCAATGAGTTGAATAGTGAATAGTTCATGGGCAACCTTGGATTGGATAGCCCAATCCAATATATGTTTTTAGGGGGAGATGTGAAAATTTCCTCCATGCAAACAGCTTACCATAAACCCAAGAGAAACAAACAATCTGTCACATTGGCCCAAGCTATCCCTTTTGCAAGTGGGCAAATCCACCCCGAGTACTGCGCAAGCGGGGTCACGATCCAAGCAAACATTGCCAATCTCAAATGCCCTGCCGAAAAAACGTCAATTTCTATCAGGCTGTATAGCAAGAGAAGCCTGCATTATAAATTTCAAAGGTCCGTTTACGGTGAATACTGTAATGACGTGTCAACCTACCCTTCGCATTGCCCAGCATTGGGGGATCCATAGTCACTAAGCCATCAACTACCCCCAATTTGTTGCTTACTCTTGTACAATTTGCAGTGTATGATTGCCTCTTGGGATGATGTTTATGATGTTTGTTCACAGCCCCCTACTATGGCTGATAACTAGGACTTCGTGATGGCAGTGATCTCAAATTGCTGAAACACAATGAAACACATACATAATTTAAAAAATGGAAAGAAAAACACACATTCTGGGAATCGTATCATATATTCCATACCGTTTGGTAATCAAATGTGGCTGGAAATCGCCAATCTAAATGGAGCTTCTGATATTTCTTAATCGGGAAAATCTTCCCGCCGGGACGTGGCGGCGTTGCCTTTTTTGATGGTTGTGGATTCTGTGTTGTTTTGCGGTTTGCAATGGATTTCATGTCTTTTTGTCAAGGTTGCGTCTCATTTCCATTGGTTTTATTGCTTTTCTGTGCACAGGCCGTCAAATTTTGACATTTCATCCCCAGAAAAGTACTCTATTTTGGGGGGATCATTTCAAAAAGTGACAGTGAGGCCCCAGTGGGGCCATAGTTTTTGCACATGACAGCGGCTATTCTTTTCTGCAGAGCTGGTGACATCAGTTTGGTGACATCAGTTTGGTCACATCAGTTTGGTCACATCAGTTTCCAACGTAGTTGGAAGTTGATAGAGAAGATAACAACGTATTTGGAAGATGTCTTACATGGGATGCTAACGTAGTTGGAAGTTGATAGAGAAAAAAAACAACGTAGTGGAAACATAACTTACAAGAGATGCTCGCGTAGTTGGAAGTTGATAGAGAAGATAACAACGTAGTTGGAATGCCAAAGAAGTCAGTAACGTAGTTGGAAGTTCTTACCAAGGACGTTAATACCCCACCCCACCCCACTCCATGGATTACCATCCAGCATCCGCCCTCATCTTGGGCCCTATGATCAAGCAACCATTGATTCCCCATATCCCCATATATCCACATAGGTTTTATGTTCAGAACACCCCTTTAAAATGCTGAACAAAAAAATATTTATCAATATCTTGGCTAGCACCTCCTGAACCAATGAATCAAACCATACTTTACATATATCCCCATATATACCATCTGGTTATTTTACATAGCCATGGAAAGATCCACCATGCTATTAATAGGTAAACCATCTATTTCTATGGGCCATCTATACCATGGCTATGTTAAATAACCAAAGGGTATGTTTAATGATTGATGGTAGTCAGCCCCTCTGATGATGCAATTCCATGGTCAAAAGCCCAGAGGGTAAACCCAAGGTGGAGCCCCTTGGATAGAGATTCTGTTGGCTAAGAACTTGCAAAAAACTATGGCAAATGGAACTATAGTTACTGTTGATTGGCTTTTAAAAACCAACATACCTGACCTGGGAGGCTCACCTTGTATAAATTCTGGTCACCCTCCGGTAATCAAACGTGCCAATGGACAACCCATGACCCATGACTGTAACAAATAATTTTCACATTTAGACCTTCATGTATAGGAGAGTTTCCACTGCCACGTTTGATTACCAGAAGCTACATGATGGTTAAATGATGGGTAAATGATGGGTAAATCCCCAAGTGCACGTGGTGTTTACCACATTAAACCACCATAAATCATCCCCAAGTCATCACCCAAAAAAGTTGGCTTTACGGATCCAGGGCCATCAACCGGGCCATCGGCTCACAGCCCGCCCCTGCGACCGCCTGCACAAGACTTCTGACTCGCCACGGTGGATGATGACTAAGCCCTTTGACCCTGGGGTTCCTGCAAGGATCAGACCTGGCGACTCTGTCGAAGATTTTTTTTGAGTCTGGGTAAATTATAATATTTCACCAACCTGAATTAAGGCCATTTGGAGATAATTTCCCTTACTAACCATGATTTCCAGTGAGGTCGCAATGAGGTCGTTATAATTTACCCAGATATATCTATAGTTAATGGGTGTTAGTTATATATAGAGAGGGAGAGAACAACATATATATATATAGAATTGGTAGACTTAAACCAACTTCGAAACTGGAAAGGGTGAAACGATGGTACTTGGATGATTGGATATATACTGATGTTGGACATCATAAACATTTACCTGGAGGATCATCCCAGGAATTCCAACTGGTTGGTAGCGGGGCTATTACTGGTCGTTTACCAAATTAATTTAACAAAACAAGATGAAGCCCGCGAACCCGAATGCTCACACGTATGTTAATGGTACAGATGTCAAAACACATGGTTATGCAGTGACGCACAATACCTTTCTGCAATAGTTTATTTGAACTGTCTTGTACATGTTTCCCTTGTTACCAGTCTGCAGTGTGGAGTGGAAAGTGTAGAGTGTGGAGTGTGGAGTGTGAAGTAAGGAGTGTGGAGTGTAGAGTGTGGAGTGTGGAGTGTGAAGTAAGGAGTGTGGAGTGTAAAGTGTGGAGTGGGGAGTGTAGAGTGTGGAGTGTAGAGTGTGGAGTGTAAAGTGTGGAGTGAGGAGTGTGGAGTGTAAAGTGTAAAGTGTGGAGTGTGGAGTGTAGAGTGTAGAGTGTGGAGTGAGGAGTGTAAAGTGCAAAGTGTGGAGTGTGGAGTGTAAAGTGTAGAGTGTGGAGTATGGAGTGTAAAGTGTAGAGTGCGGAGTGTAGAGTGTGGAGTGTAGAGTGTGGAGTGAGGAGTGTAAAGTGCAAAGTGTGGAGTGTGGAGCGTGGAGTGTAAAGTGAGGAGTGTAAAGTGTGGAGTGAGGAGTGTGGAATGTAAAGTGTAGAGTGTAGAGTGTGGAGTGTGGAGTGTAAAGTGTAAAGTGTAAAGTGTAAAGTGTGGAGGGTAAAGTGTAGAGTGTAAAGTGTAGAGTGTGGAGTGTGGAGGGTAAAGTGTAGAGTGTGAAGTGTGGAGGGTAAAGTGTGGAGTGTAAAGTGTAGAGTGTGGAGTGTAAAGTGTGGAGTGTAAAGCGTGGAGTGAGGAGTGTAAAGTGTGGAGTGTAAAGTGTGGAGTGTGGAGTGTTGAGTGGAAAGTGTGGAGTGTGAAGTGTGCAGTGTAAAGTGTGGAGTGAGGAGTGTAAAGTGTTTGGTGTGGAGTGTAAAGTGTGGAGTGTGGAGTGAGGAGTGTAAAGTGTGGAGTGTGGAGCGTAAAGTGTAGAGTGTGGAGTCTGGAGTGGAAAGTGTAGAGTGTGGAGCGTAGAGTGTGGAGTGTGGAGTGTAAAGTGAGGAGTGTAAAGTGTCGAGTGTGGAGTGAGGAAAGTGCCACGCCTGCCACGCAAAACGACATGACAACCTGCTTGGAAACTTTCGAAAAGGAGAGATTTTGCGGCTTCCCCCATAGACACGACGACGCCACAGAAAAAACCAGAGACTCGAGACGAGACGCATGGATGCAGAAAAACCAGCATTTCGTACGAGACTTCCTCCAATTTTCACATTCCAACACATTATCAAACAAGTTTGGAATGTCACAAAGTGCCACGCCTGCCACGCAAAACGACATGACAACCTGCTTGGAAACTTTCGAAAAGGAGAGATTTTGCGGCTTCCCCCATAGACACGACGACGCCACAGGATAAACCAGAGACTCGAGACGAGACGCATGGATGCAGAAAAACAAGCATTTCGTGCGAGACTTCCTCCCATTTTGATATTTTCCACACGTTATCAAACAGCTTGGAATGTCACAAAGTGCCACGCCTGCCACGCAAAACGACATGACAACCTGCTTGACACATTCGAAAAGGAGAGGTTTTCCAGCTTCCCCCATAGACACGGCGACGCCACAGGAAAACCAGCGACTCGAGACGAGACATGTGGATGCAGAAAAACCAGCATTTCGTACGAGACTTCCTCCAATTTTCACATTCCAACACATTATCAAACAAGTTTGGAATGTCACAAAGTGCGCCACGCCTGCAACGCAAAACGACATGACAACCTGCTTGGAAACATTCGAAAAGGATAGGTTTTCCAGCTTCCCCCATAGACACGGCGACGCCACAGGAAAACCAGCGACTCGAGACAAGACACGTGGATGCAGAAAAACCAGCATTTCGTACGAGACTTCCGGCAATTTTCACAGTTGGCAACGTGACCAAAGGACAAGTTTTGCAGCTTCCCCCATAGAGACGGCGAGGCCACGGGACAACCAGACACGCAAGACGAGACAGGTGGGAGCACCAAAACGAGCCTTTCGTGCGAGACTTCCTCCAATTTTCACACTTTGTAGCTTCAAAATCGACGTTTTCCTACGAGTTTTCCTTAGAACCTGAAAATTTGCAACCTCAAAATCGATGTTTCGTGCGAGGCTTCCGTCAATTTTCAGCACATCGCAGAAAATGCCACGACTGCCACGGAATTTGCACCTTGTCGCCACTTGACGCAGCCCTGCCAATGCGATTTGCAAACAACACGCAACACGACACGTCTAAAGTGCTGCGCCTGCCACGAAAAATGACGATGGACACGTCCAAAGTGCTGCGCCTGCCACGAAAACTGCAACACATCTTCTGAAAACGTCGCAAAAGTATTGCGCCTGCCACGCAAAACGACTTTCGACACGTTCCAGAACACGTCTGAATGTCACAAAGTGCCACGCCTGCCACGCGAAACGAAGCAACGACACGTCTGAAACCTCCAAAAAGGACCACCTCTGCAAAACTTCCCATAGGCACGGCCATACGGAGTTCGTGCGGACGGTTGCGGACGGTTGCGCTCGCGAACGCAACGTCGAGCGAACACACCCTCAACCCCCAGACCCCCAGAGTGAAACGGGAACCCTTGCTACGCATTCGGGAAAAAAAGGGGACTGGCCTTCCTATCCTAAACAGGGTTATGAACTAGTTACGATCGGTAGGATGATTCCAAGTATATAGGCTTTTAACAAACCCCTAAGAGAGATGTGCTGAAGTACATATTGGGCATATATGGGATAAATCAATTCCCCTAACAGGGATGTTTGATAAGACTCTAAATATGAGAGACGGGAGTTTTCACTTTTGCAGTGGTATACCCAACCAAAATATCAACATCTATGGGTACTTCAGCACGCTTCATAATTCCTAAATAAGGCAATACTCTGCCTCATTAGACTGTGTCAAAATTCCTGACCCCAAACAAATCGATGGACTCATACTTGAAATGATTAGTTTTATAGTTCACTGGTGTCCCCACAAAAAAAAATGACCAATCCCCGCCCATGTCCGGGAAGTCAAGAATTTCAAAAGTCATCAGTGAAAATCCTAAAACCCTCTAGTGAACTGCTGGAACCCGTGAACGTATTCCGGAAGGAAAATCGTGGATGTTCCATACCTATGTTAGCTTGCCCAGCGGCATGCAAGTGGTTGTTTTTTTCGCATTGCCCACAAAATAAATTACTATCAAGACACGTTGTGTTTTTCCCATGGCTTAGAAACTCTCAGAAAAAACTGCGAACATGAGCCACAAACAGCCTGATTTATTTACGATGGCAATAATCTGGGCAAATCATTACTCACTAAAGCAATTTTTGAGTGAGGTCGTTGTAAGGGCATTCAGACTTTCCATAAAATATCAAGCACATCGACCTGCCACATCACCCTCTGATAATCAAACGTGGCAAGGAAAAATTGCGTATAAATCTGTACGTGGGGCATTTTCAATTGCCAAGTTTGACTGTTGGTATATTATGCTGGCCGCGTTTTTTGGACACAATACAATATCAAATCAATGCCCATGTTTGTGACGAATGTCCAGTATATACCCTCCGGTAAACTAACAGTTTGTAGTGAAAATGGCCATAGACATAGTTGATTTACCCATTAGTTTGATGATGGGTTTTCCAGTTCCCTATATTTAGTTTAAAGGGTATGGCTATGGCGTATGCTTGCTACGTATGAACCCCCCGCCTAATGGTTTGCCGTCCAAACGTTGGAGTACTGCCTGGAAGCTTCCCTGTGTCTCTCGACGTCTGTGACGCACCATCTTTCAGTCGACCCCGCTGAGCCGTTCAGAACGCCATCTGAGAGCCAAAAATACAAGGGATCAATTTTGATCAAGTTGTATGGTGCGGAGGCCTTTGTACTGCGGTCATTCTGGATCATGGCCAATCTTAGATACCCGGCATCTTGAATCACACTAGTAAAAGCACCTACGTCGGTTGAGCCCGTGTCGGGCTAAAAGCTGGCCACCCCAGAGATGTGGAAACCCATCTCCCTCCGATTTGCGATATATTTCAATGTAAAATAAACATCGTTTAAAACAACCAACACTAAATATATAAATAACAAAAACGTACACACATATTTATGTAATTAATCACATATATATATATAATATATCTATATAATATATATATATAAAATATATACATACAAAATACAATTCTTGAGTATACGTATATATATATATATATATCATATATACCCTCTGGTAATTTAACATAGCTATGGAAAATCACCATTTTTAATGGGACAATCCACTATTTCTATGGCCATTTTCAATAGCTATGTTAGTTTACCAGAGGGTATATACATATATATATATATATACCTAATCTATATATGTGATTTTTGTGTTCCGACTTCCCACCGGACAACTGTTGCCATCACTAAAAAATCCGACTCCCAGCCAGTTCTTCGGCTCCGAGTCAGAGATCTGCGTGTGAAGCCAGGGGTTTGCCATCTCTTCGCGTTGTTGGGGCGTCATCCCTCGCAAAAAATGCCAGCAAGGCCAAACAAATGCAAGCTGTGTATATATGATGGTATATAAACGATGAATACATCCTTAAAACACAAAAATAAATAAATAAATAAATACATAAATACATAAATAAACATATATATATATATATATATATGCATATGTGTATGTATATATATTTATGTATATAGATAGATAGATAGATAGATAGATAGATAGATAGATAGATAGATAGATAGATAGATAGATAGATGCACGCATACATGTATATGTACATATTACATTTGTATATATATATATATATGCATATACGCATGTGTGTGCTATGTGCATAAACATAAACTACATATTCTTTATACATCATACATACATACATAAATATATACATATGTGAGATATATCATTTTGATTTGGCCAATGAATCACTTCCTCTGTTGAGCTGCATCCGGGCCTTCTCGAACTTTCTTCTTCATCCTCTTCAATTCCTGAGAAACTCAGCATGGTTTCACAACATTTTTGCCGCAAAGTCATTACGGTTTCACCATCTGAAACATAAGCAGGTCTTTCTGGATGATTCATGATGACTCCTTCATGATGATTCATCGGACCAAAGTCTTTTTCAGCCAGGCTGAAGTACTAGACGCAGCCATGCGCAGCCCCTCTGATTCCCTGGTATATTTACTAAGAATGAATTAGTGTGCAGTCGTTGTGAGGTTGCTATAACACACCAAGATCTGCACGAAAATGCAAACACAAAGGACAGCCTGCACAGGTTTTTGAACATAGAAGATGCAGGCGTCTATGAGCCCACCTGCGAATGCAGCAATCGAAGCAGTATATGATTGTGCCATATTGTGCCTCATTTTCCTGCATCAGTATTGCATATAGGCATTATTAGGCATGGCAAGTATTGGCTTCTATCTTACTTGGTGGCTCACCCCAGGAATCGAGGGTTTTTTTTCTACCTCCATTGAATTCAGTAGCCTTAGGGTAGGCACAATGTCCAATTACGACTTCCGGGCTGAGCCATCAAGTATACTTAGACCCGCCAAATACCACCAAAACAATTGACACAGTACTAAAATGATAGGGGTAAAGGGTAAGACGCTAAAACCATGTGTTTAACCCAATTGTGTGGCGACACACAGTAATGTCCATGTGCGATTAATACACCCCCCCGCAATAAAGTACGCCCAATCCCGGGAAATATTAATAACTAATAATAACCCTCCCCGTAATAAAGTACGCCAACCGATTTTTGATATGTGTTTTTTTTCCGTGTTTTTCTTGTTTTTTCACGTAGCCCTGAAGACCCCAACATCTAAAAAATAATGAATGTTTGCACCCCCTAAATTAAGTATTTGGATTTCAAATGTCTAAAATAAGGGGGTAGTCCTGAAAACCCCTAACATTTGGGAATACTAAAATGGAAAGAAAGTCCACTTATGTATTCGTTTTCAATTAGGCAATTTGTTCGGCGCCACATAGATCTGGAAAATTTTCCAGGGATTCCCGGCCAATGTTTGGCCTAAACTTTATTTTGATGCTCTTAATGTTTGGGGGGGTTATTAATCACACGTCAACATTATATGTCTGGGTGCTTGCTTATAATCCAATCACTACCTGGTGATATTCCCAATTCTGAATATATTTATTCCCATTGACTATTATCCTATGAAAATCACTATTTGATGTCTTAAACACTCCCCAAAAAGTCGCCGCGCAGTCGCGGCGAATGTGCCACGTGTCACGTTCAAAGTCTGCATCTCTTCTGGAAGATGGGCAGAGATCCTCCAGGAGCTCCTGGGGGCTACGGCTTGGATCGGAGCCGATGGCGGTGCGGTGGCTGTGCGGTGCACATCCGCAAAGATGGGAAGAACGAGCCATGCAATAAGGATCTAATATCTGGTTTGTGATTTCAACCCCTCTGAAAAATAGTAGTCAGTTGGGATGATTACTCCCAATATAGAAAATGCATAATACCAAGAAAATAACTAGATTATAATATGCATAATACCAAGAAAACAAGGATTTGATCAAAAGAATGAGCCCGAAAAGTTGAATTCACCAACAAGACATGGATTCAAAAAGCAACATGTCAATCTTTGGTCTTGACACTCTTAAACATTTTTTTTTCCCAAGATCATTTTCTTTGGTGAGCTGCCTGTTCCGACAAACGCCCGAGGTTCTTAGGCTTCAGAAAATCACCATGGTAAAATTTCTGCTTTATCCGCGTCAACTCGATATTTCAAACTATGAAGTTTCAATCCCCTTCTCAAATTTTGCGAGATATTTCAATACTTTTCAAATTTACCCATCTGGTTATTTAACATAGCCATGGAAAGTCACCATTTTTAATAGGTAAACCATGGTTAAACCATCTATAAATGGGCCATTTCAATCCCCTTCTTCTGCCGGCACCCACAAAAAAGCGTTGCGCCACTGCACCTCGTCCGAGGATGAGTCGGACACCTTCTTCTGCCGATCGATACGCCGCCCCAGCTCGTCATACTTGGGACCGGGCCCACCTCCATGGCGTCATAGCCATGGGATCCATGGTGCTGCTATATATGGTAACATTGACCAATCTAATCCAATCTACCCCCAATGTTAGTGAGCATATATACCAGCACCATGGATCCTATATGGGATAGGATGGAATACTGGATAGATCATATCAGCTCAATCATCATATTCAGGGGAAATCCTGGGATTGCGATGATACCAAGCATGGGATCACTTTCCGGCGATCAAGGGATCTCTTGGGAAAATCTTGGTTGAAACTGAAACCAATGTGAAAGCCCATTAAAATTGGATAAATGTGGTTGGGTCTATGGTAGATTTTCCTAACCACTTCAAGGCTTTTTCCAAACTAGAAATATCTTGTCAGCCATACCTTATGCTCATTCGATGATAACGCCAGGAGGGGGGGAGGGGGGAGCCATTTCGGAAAAACGATTGCAGAAAGCCCCCACGCAACGGTCAGCCCCCAATTGAAATCCCTATGATGTTGGATGATTTTGATTCAAGACTTAGCAGCTACCCTTAGATACTTCAGGAAGGAAAACAGCAATTCTTTCAACAACTTTGAGAGACACAAAACACACGGTCAATGAAACAAAGTTCTTATTGGCTACCTACACGGTATAGTTGAATCTTAAAATAATCTTAAATTCATGGCCCTAAAATATAGGCGATGTAACCATTTCCGAGTCGCTTTCTCCTTCACTGATGAGGTAGACTACCAGATTATCGTTCTTAGTTGGTTTTCTCAATGTTCAACTCCCCCTTTTTTCAAAGCTGCTTCTCTATTAATTCTTCAAGATCTTTATTGGAAGAAACTTCCCCCATAACGGTCTGACTTTGCGCCGACTCCGACGCCTTTCTTTTTGGGTTTCGCCTTCACTTTTGCCTTGGCTTTGGCTTTCGGTTTCCTCGGTGACCAAGAGCAAATGATTATTCATGGGCGGCCCATCATGGACAATAAACATCCCACAATATCCCATAGAAACCATGGTTTTTTGTAGGGATATTCCACAGAAAAAAGGGACCATACAATGGGCGGGTGTTTCATATTAGGGTGATGGGATCGGTGCATAAGACTCCATACTATTATATCATGATAATCACCAATACCCAAGAGGAGAATGATGGATTATTCTACGGTGATAAAAAAAGGTGCAAAAACAACAATCACATGCAAAAACATGCAACATAAGGCAACAACAAAAAAAAACGAGATCCCTGGGTTTTGCAACATCGCCAAAGGGTCGATCTTAAGTGATAGTTGAGTTACCTCATACAACTGCATCGCAAAAAGAAGGTGTCACCCTTCAGATTTTGAAAGATAAACTTCAGATCACATGAAAAATAATCTACACACACAATTCTGAGATATCACCATAAAATGGTTGGCTTCATACCCTTAAGCCATGTGATGAAACTGTAACACTCATTCACCAAACTGAAAGCTCCGGCCGTTTTGGGATAGTTACTGCATTTTATCTCAGCCATCATTCCGTGATGTCGCGCGGTGACTCCTTTCGGTGTCATCAAGCATGGCTGGGAAATCCCCGCACGAAATGCATGTGTTCATAGGACATTTCTCATCATCGATCTATAGGGTATTGTCCAGCAAGCCACGTTTCATTACTGGAGGTACACAATAAACCGTATTGAAACTTGAATCTTCAACCTTTCTGTTGGTAAACATAACTCTTTCTGTTGGTTCATTCCGAAAGAACGCCAATTCTTGCGGAAATAACCCTCCCCAGTTAATGTCAAGTTCGTACCAATGACCAAGCCCCCCGAAGGTAGGTACCTAGGGAGAAGGTTCTGTTAAGGTTTTTACCCTAGATAATCAACGTCCTAACTTAAAGTCATAAGAGATCAGCTTCGAATTGATATCCATCTACTTTCAATTGATTTTCCTTTAAACCTAGAAGAGATCAGAGTAGGAAGGATATCAATGGATATCAATCTACTGTCAAATGATTTTCGTTTTTAATCTAGAAGAAATCAAATTGTTATAGTAAAGATTTCTTTTGATATGAATCTACTTTCAATTGATTGTCCCTTTTAAACCTCGAAGAAATCTAGGGGCCGGGCCAAGGTTGATGAATTAGGGGAAACCCTTCCTATTATTCGGGGGAGAAATGGGCTCATGCGGGGTACCCTTTGGGAGCTTCTCAAAAGATGGTTTTTAAACGGATCTCAATGCATAGATTGATCATTGTGTTTTTCTTTATTAGCCAAGAATTTGGTTTGAACCAAGACTGGAAGACTGAGCCTGTGATTGCAAAGTCACAAACATGTGACTGCAAAGTCACAAAAACACAAAAAAGGCTGGTGCCAATGCAACAAAGTAATTGATTACTCGACTCGTATGATTGACCTTGTGGGGGAATCTCTGCCAGAGGTCTGTCAAAGTCAAATCTTCTCTGTGGAGGTTGAATAATTGGCTGGTACACATCCCCCGCTTTATTAATCATGGGGGGACAAACCCATTTAGTATTGCCAAAAGATCTTTCCCGTGTGAGGGTTGGTTAATCCCTAGTGGATTGTTTATACCAACTTGACAGTATTTTTGATGGTTACCCTCTGGTAAACTAACATAGCTATGGAAAATCACCATTTTCAATGGGAAAATCCACTAGAAATGGCCATTTTCAATAGCTATGTTAGTTTACCAGAGGGTAAAGCTTCCGAATGAGGAAGATCACCAAATGTCCTGCAGAAAACCAAGGCTCCCTTCCTTCTCCTCCTCTCGAGCCACTGCAAGTCCACTGAGGTGCACTTCTTCCCCGTCGCGCGTAAACTGAAAGCTGATCCTTAGGACAGTCGCCAAGCATGGTGACTGTGTCCGGCTACCAGCCCGGAAGCCGGGCTGGACTGGGTGACACCGGTGACACCTTGGGTCCCTGCTGGCCATCCTTATCCGCCAGCGTCTTTCCAGAGGCAGTGGCCTGCCATCTCAAGGAGGTCACCCATCGAAATCGATGTAGAAATATGTTGAAATATGTTCAAATCATGGGACATTCACCGAACAAAATGAATGATATAATATCTATATATAAGCTGCACACAGCTCTGGCAACTAAAATGAAACCCGACAAAGTCAAAGTATTAATTGCTAAAAGGAACATCATCATACTTGGCATGACATTTTTTTAGGAGCTTAAAACGCTTAAAACCAATCAGTGATGCAGGTCATAGAATTTCACCATTTTAGATGGAAAATAGCTACCCTCTGGTTATGACTAACAGATACTAACAGGGCTAGCCATGGAAAATCACCATGCGAATGGGAAAACTCACTATATTTCACTGGGCCATTTTCAATGTCGCAAACTGTTAGTCATAACCAGAGAGTAATATGATTGGATGGGAATCTACAGATTCCCAACCAATTTGTGAACCCCCCAGTCGTATTTTGCGGGTTTCCTCCAGTCCCTGGACCACTGGACCCGGCCTCATGGGATTTGCTGGCACTGGTCTTGCCCTGGTCCTCTCCATTGACTGAGAGACCTAATGACAACAAAAAGGACCTAGGATCATGGTGGGAACATGACCACTATATTGATAGTCATCACCAGCAATCAGTTCAACAAAAACAAGAGTTCGCGGGAAGGTAAGCGCTTTATCTGGATCTCCCCAGATGAAATGATGCTATTGATGATGAAATTCCTAGAACAAATAGAGCTTCCTACAACTGCCAAGTTTCCGTTGGTGCTCCCGTGAAGTTTTGCCACTTGATACACCTGCAGGTGTGCAAATGTGCTGTCCATGACATGCCTGTATACACTATAGTCACTACATAGAAGTAGAATGAAATAAAGAAGTGATTCGGCTCTATTTTAAAATACTGGAACGTGTTAGGACGTGTTTAAAATAGAGTAGATGTGTGTAGGACGATGGGATGCCAGCGGCCTTCCACAGGTACGGCACGTGTGGATCCAGGCCACTGACCACTGCGCTGGCCGTGCCCGGCTTGTTGCGAATGAAGCCTTTGGCGTACCTGGGACGACTGGGAGGGCACTGGGATGAAAGCACCCCTTGAAAGCCAGGGGCGGCTATGCAATGTTTCGAAATGCTCTTTGGGGAAGTGCGGCAGTGCTAGAATCTGCTAGGAAGAGGAGGATAGATGTATATATATATACACTGTATATATATATATAAACATAACTTTGATCCAAGTCAACTACAACAAGTCTGGATTAGGATACAAACGAAGAAATTTAACTACCAAAAATGTGGCTTGAACCAACAAAGAGACAAACACGTGGATTTAACATGATTTAACTATGGTCTTCAAATGTGGTTTTGAACATCATACCAAATACGTCTAATTGAATTTACAAAACATGGGTCTTGAACTGCCAAACATACGGATGCAACTAACAACTCGCTGCATCTGATAGAAACCACCAGCATGGACATCATTGCAATTCCAAGAGCGAAGAACAAATTATACGCAAACAATACAGAAAATAAGAAATAATGATTGATTGTCATGTTTGATCGTCATGTGAATAACTTGTCATGATTCAATCAGTCTGCAACTTAGCTTGCATTAGACTGTGAAGCACCTGCCCGACATCGAACATGATAAAAACATATAAACACCAACCAACCCAAGATAGATGGGGCGATACTTGCTGGCACAAATTTCGTGCACATGTGACCTGCCAGCTGCATCAACAACCCTAACATACCCTAGCAACATCTAACAACCCTTGAACCGAGCTTCGGTCGAGTATGAGTCCATCCGGCCAACTGGCACTTGTAGTCATTTCCTGCAATAGAGGCCATTATACAGTACCCTCTGGTAAACTAACATAGCTATGGAAAATCACCATTTTTAATGGGTAAATCCACTATAAATGGCAATTTTCAATAGTTTATTGTTTGTTTTCCAGGGGTATGCAGTAGATGTGCACATCGCAACCCACCAGGTCAATGCGCCTGTCTGCCATGTGTTCCATCATGTGTTTTGAGAGGGAAACCTTGCACATGAGGAAAAAAAGGTTGGCTGAACAATGTGCTGTATCATGTTCCAGTCTTCCAATCTTCAAGGCAGTGTTGAAAAAACTGCAGTTGAAAAACGTCAGCCACCTTCATGTTATCCTTTCAATAGTGTCCTTCTCCGGAAAACATTTGACATCCTCGTTGCTGCCATGATGCACTTCTTGGATCTTCTTGGTTGTAAAATGGGAGGTTCAGAGGTTCCACCATTTTTTCATCAATCACCTCTTGTTTAAGTCAACAATATTGTGGTACGCACCTTAATTTAAATCACCTTATTAATATCACAATATTGTGGTATATTATATATCTACAATTACAACATGTATCAATCTATCAATCTATCAACCTAACAACCATGAATATCAACCTATCAACCATGCATATCCACCATTAATATCCACCAACCATCAACCAACCATTTCCCCCCACCGCAACGGC